GAACTTTAAAAAATATTTATTAGCTATTAGTCTTTTGAAATAGAGTTTTATCCTTCTGAAGCTCAATATATGAAATATGTTAATAGAAAACATCCTAAAATATATTTCATATGTAAAATTGGTTTAATTAAGTTTTAGGTCATGTACCAGTGAGAAAAGTTAAGTTTTTTCTGAGTTACTGCTTGGCATAACTTTAAACATTTTTTCCTTGAATGGATTTTAGGCCAAAAAAGTCTAGTAGTAGCCAATGATTATTGGTCTTTTATGATGCCTTCAATTTTTCACTTTAAAGTATAACATTCTAATAGCTAAGTCTTTATACTTAGAATGATTATTTCCTAAAGAGGTAAATTTCTGCAAACAAAATTGCTGAGTTAGAGAGACCGTAAACGATCCAGCATGCTGTTCAATTGCCCTTCCTAAGCGTAGCATTCCACGTACTGTTGGCTGTCCATATCTGCAGGTTTCACCTCCATGAATCAGCCAGCTGTGGATCAGATGTATACGGGACTTGAGCACCCATGGACTTTGATATCTGGGGTGGCTCCTGGAACCAGTCCTTCATGAGTACTGAGGGACCACTGTGCTCTACCTTTTCCCCCTCTTAGTAGGGAGAAGCTAATCATTTGCTACCAAAGGCCAGCCTTTTCGCCTGTGTACTGCATCCCATCCTGTCTTTTCTGTTTAAGGTCTTAGCTCCAGCGGTTGTCCCCTTCCATTAATTTTTCCTTTTCTAGATCTTCCCACACACCACAGCATATAAGCATGTTGTTATTTTCCCCATCTTAAAAAATGAAACAGAGAAACTTTCCTAACCCCACATTCACTTCTAGCTATTTCTTAGTACCCCTTCCTTTATTACAAAACCATGCCTCCCTTTTTTTTTTTGCCTCCATTCTCTCTTGAACTATTCAGATGAGCTTTAATACCTACCACTGAAACTGCTCTTTTCAGAGTCACCAGTAATTGTCTTGTTGCAAAATCCAGGGGTTAGTTTCCTCACCTTACTTGACCTTGGAGCAGTGTTTGATACACATGACTGCTCTTGTCAGCACTCTTCTGCTTTTCCTCCTTTTTGCTCCTTTTTACTCCCCTTCACTGCTTTCTCCTCATTTCCCCAACCTCTATATGTTGGACTGTTTCAGAGATCAGTCCTGAATCATCTTCTCTGTCTGTACTAAGTAGTTTCATCTAGTTTCATGGCTTTAAATACTATCTATATGCTGCTCTTTCCCAAATATATACTTCCACCTGGAACACTACTCTAAACTCTGAACTCATACATCCAGCTGCCAAGTTGACACCTCCACTTGGATGTGTAATAAGCACCTCAGATATAACATGTACAATAATGAACTCCTAATCCCACCACCCCACACCCCCTCACACAAAACAACTTTCCTTCCTTTAGTCTTTGCCATTCCAAGAATGGTAGTTCTAGCATTCCGGTCGTTTATGCTTAAAAACTTCGGAGTCATCGTTGAATTCTCTCTTGCATAACCCACATACGATCCATCAGCAAATATTTTTGCACCACCGTCACCTCCTAAATTTAAACCTGGAGATTTGCAAGAGTCTTCGTGCTCCACCTCTTGACTCCTGTAGTTTATTTCTCCAGAGAGCAGCCAGAGCGATCCTTTTGAACTATAAGTCAAATCACTTCATTCCTCTGCTCACAACTTTCCAGTAGTTTCTTTCCTGCTGACCCGAAGTGAAAAACAAATTCCTTAGTTGATCTGGCCTCCAGTACCTCTCTGACCCCATGTCTTACTCCCTGCCCTGTTACTCACTGTGCTTCAGTAACACTGGCCATCTTGTTATCCCTTGAGCACACCGGGCACACCTGTGCATCTTTCTGTCCTCTCTACCAGGAGCACAGTCTCTCTCAGATATTTGCATGGCTAGTTCGCTCACCTTCTCTAAAACTCAGCTTAATACCACCTTAGTAATGAAGCCTCCACTGAATGTTCTGCCTAAAATAGTGATACCAGTTCCCCTTACTGGTGTGACCTCAAGCATCTGCTTATCATCTCGTATTCTCATTTTCTTCATTTGCTGAATGAACCTGTTAAATAGTACAGCAATACCTCATGGGGATATCATGAGGATTAACGAGGTGATGTATGTGAAGTGTTTATATAGTTCCTTGGACCACCGTAGTTAGTATTTATTTTCTTCCTTGTCCTTATAAGGAACTTCCTTGTTATCAGTTCTCCCTTTCTACTCTTGGATTTTTTAATTTATTTTTTGTTTTTAAATTTTTCTGTGTATTCATTGCTTTTTTCTTTGTTTCCATAAATTTATTTATTTATTTATTTTTACTTTCGGCTGTGTTGGGCCTTTGTTCCTGCACACAGGCGTTCTCTAGTTGTGGTGAGTGGGGGCTACTCTTTGTTGCGGTGCACAGCCTTCTCATTGCGGTGGCTTCTCTTGTTGCGGAGCACGGGCTCTAGGTGCGTGGGCTTCAGTCGTTGTGGCACACGGGCTCAGTGATTGTGGCTCGCGGGCTCTAGAGCACAGGCTCAGTAGTTGTGGTGCCTGGGCTTAGTTGCTCTGCAGCGTGTGGGATCTTCCCAGAACAGGGATGGAATCCATGTCCCCTGCACTGGCAGGCAGATTTCTAACCACTGTGCCACCAGGGAAGTCCCTCTTGGATGTTTTTAAAACTTACTGATTTATTTATGGTCTTTCCAGTTTCTGTTATTGGTTCAGTTTTTTTTTTTTTTTTTTTTATTGGTTCAGTTTTGGTAAATTATATTTTGTTAAAATTTTCAGAATTTTATATCGTGATGTTCAGAGAATTTCTTTTAATATCTTTTAAATCTCTTTTCATCTTTAGCTATATTATCTTTTGCTTTTTGTTATCGTAACTTTTATTTTTTTGCCTTTTAAATCATCCTTGCCAAAGCTTTATCAATTTTGTTAGTCATTAAGTGTTTGTTTTTCTTTGTTGATCCTCTGTTGTACCTTTGCCATCTAGCTCATTAATTTCTGTTTTTATCTATATTATTTTGTTTCTTCCACCTTCTTTGGGTTTGTGATGATCTTTTCTTACTCTTTTGTAAAATCAGCTTTATTGAGGTATCATTAACAAGTAAAATTCAAAGATATTTAAAGTGTACATTGTGGTGATTTGATACCGTATTTTGATAATGTATACCTTGTGGAAGGATTTCCCCCGTGTTGTTAATTAACATATCCATCACCTCACATATTTATCTTTTTGTGTGTGTGTGTGAACATTTAAGTTATACTCTCTTAACAAATTTCAGTTATATAATACAGTGTTATCAACTATAATCACCATGTTTTACAGTAGATACTCAGACTTTATTAATCTTACAGCTGAAAGTTTGTACCCTTTTACCAACCTCTCCCTATTCCTCCTCCTCGCCCCTGGGAACCATTTTCTAGTCTCTATTTCTATGAGTTTGACTTTTTTTTTTTTTTTAAGATTCCACATATAAGTGATACCTCCAGTATTTGTCTTTCTGTGTCTGGCTTACCTCACTTAGCATAATGCTCTCAGGATCCATCCATGTTGTTGCAAATGGCAAGATTTCTTAACTTCTCGTGGCTGAACGGTATTCCACCGTGTATATGTATACACCACATCTTCTTTATCCATTCATTTATTGATGGACACTTAGCTCGTGTCCATATCTTGATTAGTTGTGCTGCAGTAAACATGGGAGTACAGGTATCTCTTCAAGATTCTGTTTTCATTTCCTTTTGATACATTCCTGGAAGTGGAATTGCTGGATCATACGGTAGTTCTATTTTCAATATTTTGAGGAAACTCCATTCTGTTTTCCATAATGACTGTATCAGTTGACACTCCCACAGCAGTGCACAGGGGTTCCCTTTTCTCCACATCCTCGTCAACACTTATCTTTTTTGTTTGTTTGTTTTTTTGCGGTACGCGGGCCTCTCACTGTTGTGGCCTCTCCCGTTGCGGAGCACAGGCTCTGGACGCGCAGGCTCAGCGGCCATGGCTCACGGGCCCACCCGCTCTGCAGCATGTGGGATCTTCCCGGACCGGGGCATGAACCCGTGTCCCCTGCATCGGCAGGCGGACTCTCACTGCGCCACCAGGGAAGCCCAACACTTATCTTTTTGATGATAGTCATTTTTTTTTTAAGATGATAGCCATTATGACAGATGTGAGGTGATATCTTGTGATTTTGATTTGCATTTCCCTGATGGTGAGTGATGTTGAGCACCTTTTTATGTACCTGTTGGCCATTCGTATGTCTGTTTTTGAAAAATGTCTATTCTATTCCTCTGATTATTTTTCAATCACGTTTGTTTTTTGGCTGTTGAGTTGTTTGAGTTCTCTATATATCTTGGATATTAACTCCTTATCAGATATATGATTTGCAGATATTTCCTCCCATTCAGTATGTTGCCTTTTCATTTTGTTGCTGGTTTCCTTTGCTGTGCAGAAGGCTTTTAGTTTGATGTAGCCCCACTTCTTTATCTTGCTTTTGCTTTTTTTTTTTTACTTTTTTTTTTTGGTGTCAAATCCAAAAATCATTGTCAAGATTGATGTCAAGGGCTTACCCCCTATGTTTTCTCCTAGGATTTTTACAGTTTCAGGTCTTATATTCAAGTCTTTAATCTATTTAGAATGATTTTTGTATATGGTATAAGATAGGGTTCCAGTTTCATTCTTTTGATCTACGTGGGACAGTAAAAAGAGCACAGCTAGACAGGTCTTCTCAGCACATGTGGAGTTTCTGGCTCTCTTCTTTAGAAGTGTTTTCTCTCTCCTCAGGACATTCTCACAGTTTCTGTGTTAGTGCCCTTAGGTCTGTAAACCTCACTTGAACTTCTGTAGCATCTCTAGGCTTGATGATAATATCATTATTATTGTATAGTCAGTGATGAATATTTTGGAGCTTGCTCACCAGTAGCTTGCAAATACAGAAGTGTTTCTAAAAAATCAAAGTGGAACATATTATGAATTTTGTTTCTTTAAAAATTTTTAATCTTCTCAGTTCTGACAGCATCAGCAGTGATGAGGAAGAGCTGAGGACTCTGGGAAGCAGTGGTAGTGAAAGCAGCACTCCAGAGAACATCGGGCCTCCTTTCATCATGGATGAGAATAGTTGGTTCAACAAGTGTAAGAGAGTTAAACAAAAGTATCAACTAACGCTGGAACAGAAGGTATTTATCAGTTGTCAAAAGTAATTTAATTTGGTTCTAGTACTACCTTTAGACTGTCACTACCAAAAGACCTTTTAGCTGTATAGAAGTATTTACCTATTGCTACTTCCTTTCTGTTCTTGGATTGTCCTCCTTTTAATTAAAAATCAGGGCCTGGGCTTCCCTGGTGGCACAGTGGTTGAGACTCCGCCTGCCGATGCAGGGGACACGGGTTCGTGCCCCGGTCCGGGAAGATCCCGCATGCCACGGAGAGGCTGGGCCCGTGAGCCATGGCCGCTGAGCCTGCGCGTCCAGAGCCTGTGCTCCGTAACAGGAGAGGCCACAACGGTGAGAGGCCTGCGTACCGCAAAAAACAAACAAACAAAAAAATCAGGGCCAGTTTTAGGAGAGGCTTTTGTTTCTTAAATAATTTTATGTCTTAATATATATAATAAGCCATTTATTCTTCTGTATGCAGTTTCATTTGTCTGAGGTATTAGTTTCTGTGATTAATTTTATAAAGGATTATTTGGTTTATGAAAATGCAGTGATTGCCTAAGAAATTCCATATATGTGTCTCACTCTTTTTTTTTAAATCAGGTATTTTAGCAGCTCTTGTGTGTTAAGCGCTGTAGTAGGCAAAGTGGGGTACATAACAGAATGGAATATAAACTCTATCATCTTGAGTTGTAACCTCTTCTTTTTCACTGTATGATTTATTTTCCTTCCTACCCTTCCTTTCAAATTATCATTATTCATAGATGAGCTGTGTAGGGAGAGCCCAATGGAATTATCCATAGAATTATCAGAACAATAAAAAATACACTGAGGAAAATGGTTACAAAGGAAATTTACAAATATGAAGAGATTTCCTGTAGACAGACAGCTGCTAGTTAGAAATATAAAGAAAACTTTAGTACCCTCTTAAAGGAGAATTCTGGTACCAGCTACCAGCCGGAAGTCACGCTATGATAACTGAAAGCCTTTACATTGCAAAAATCTGAAAATGCCAAGTAGGATAAAATTTGAAAGAGTTTCATACAGAGCTGCTCTCTCAAAGAATAGGAGCTCACTAAGAACTGTAAACAAAGAAGGGCCTAAAAAATAGGAGCTCGCTAAGGACTGTAAACAAAGAAGGGCCTCACTAAGGACTGTAAACAAAGAAGGGCCTGGAATAAGTCATGAGTTAAAGTCACTGCAGGCTTCTGGGGTGGGGGTGAGGGGCCATTCCCTTAACCTAGGTACTTGTGTTTTAATACCAACCGGGGAGCAGCAAACCTAGGCCCGCTATCATTCGAGTTGGAAACTGAACCTAGAAGGCTGGATGCGCTGCAAAATGGCAGGGTAAGCACAGAAATTGGCAAATAAACCTTGACTACATGAAACAGCAACAGCAATATTAGTGACCATTATGGGGTGGCAGTGTTGTTCTGGGATATGATTAACAACTTGCTTTGCAGAGGAATTAGATAAGCCCTGATTTGTAGCATTTGCTGATTTCTCTGGGATGAATACTCCCATCATGGCCAACTTAAAACTACCAATTTGATGTCACTGAATGTAGAATCAGGAAGAGAGGCACGGTAGCACACCATTATATAGTTTTTCTACCAGGCAGACACGGTAAATATAAATGACTTGAAGAGCACAGATTGTAATAGTAAAATATATAGTAAAACACTTGGGAAACGATAGATTTTGTAGTTATTCTGTTTTTTGATATAATTTACTTAATGGTAAGTTTATAAAATTTAATTTTTTATAATAGCAGTGTTTTAACAGCTGAATTACAAAATATCTGAAGCTTATCAATTAGTTCAGGCTTCAGCCTACCCTGGGAAGTAAAATGGAAGTAAAACACTATCTAATAGTGTCAGAAAGAGAGAGAGAGGGTGATTGAAGCTAAAGCCTTTTGAGGTCTTTGTATTACAGCAAAGGAGTGTAGACACATTTTTTAATGTGTATTCCTGTTTCCAAAGTTGCAGTTAAAAGAAATAGAATATTTAGCTTTTAAACTAATAATAAGAAAGAAAAGAAATAAGGAAAATTGATTAACACAATAGCAAAGAGCAAATGAGAAAAAATAAGGATGGTATAAAGAAAACACAAAATAAAGTGGTAGAAATAAATCTCAATATAACCAAAAGAGTCAACATCACCATAAAAGTAAATGGTGTAAACTTGCCAATTAAGACAAATTCTTGGGAATTCCCTGGCAGTCCAGTGGTTAGGACTCTGTGCTCTCACTGCTGAGGGCCCGGGTTCAACCCCTGGTTAGGGAACTAAGATCCACAAGCCTCATGGTGAGGCCAAAAAATAATAATAATAATTTTAAAATTAAGAGAAAAAAAGACAAACTCTTAAATTTATGTTTTAAATCATTAATTTTAGTTATATGCCGTCTGTAAGAGGCATACATAAAAGAGGGACACAAAAAAGTTGAAACTAGGAGTATAAAAATAGAGTAGGCAAATACTAACCAAAATAATTCTATATCAGTATCATTCAAGATAGACATTAAGGCAAAAAGCATCATTAAGACTAAAGAAAGAATTGCCTTTTTAAAAAAGAACAATTCACCAGGAATGTTGTTTAACAGTGCTGAACTTACATGCATTTAACAATGTAGCCATGAAAAATATGAGATAGAAATTATTAGAATATCCATGAGAAATGGATAAATCCATAATTATAGTAGAAAATTTTAACATCCTAATAATTACAGATTAAACAGACAAAAAATTGGTAAGGATATAATGAACAACACAGCTAGTAAGCTCAATCTAAAATATGTTAAATGCTAACAATTAGAACACACATTCTTTTCAAGCACACATGGGACAACTATTCAATTTTTATGGACTATGCTAGATCACAAAACAAATGCCCTTAAATGCCAAAGAAATGATGTAATAGTGATCACAATGCAATAAAGTTAGATTCAATAGAAAAATTTTACCACACCCTGAAGTACACCAATGGGGATTAAAAAAAAATAAAGTCTTCTAAATTTTGGGTCAAAAAAGAAATGTGGAAATACTTAGAAATGAACAGGAATGAAAACAATGTATACTCTTAGTACTAAGTTGCAACTTGTTCAGTGCTTGGAGAATTACTTACCTTAGAAAAGAAAGAATGAAAATTAAAGAGCTAAGCATCCAAGAAGTAAAAAAAACAAACCAGTTCAAAATAAGAAAAATAAGAGCAGATATTAATGAAATAGAGATACAGAATTAATAAAACCAAAAGCTGATTATCTGTAAAAACTAATGAAATATACAAATCTCAACCATAATTAAATTTAAAAGAGTTAAGGCACAGATAGACAATTTTAAGAATTAAAAGAGAATAGACAGGGACTTCCCTGGTGGTCCAGTGGTTGAGAATCCGCCTTCCAATGCAGGGGACACAGGTTCAATCCCTGGTTGGGGAACTAAGATCCCACATGCCGCAGGGCATCTGAACCCGTGCGCCACAACTAGAGTGCCTGTGTGCTGCAACTACAGAGCCCACGCGCACTGGAGCCCGCATGCCACAACTACAGAGCCCACATGCTCCGGAGCCCGCGTGCCACAACTACAGAGCCTGTGCACCCTGGAGTCCGCGCACCACACAAAGAGCCTGCGAGCCGCAACGAAAGATCCCGTGTGCCGCAGCTAAGACCCAATGCAGCCAAAATTAAATAAATAAATATTAAAAAAAAAAAAATAGGCAGCATAACTATAAATGCAGTGGAGACCCCCCATAATTATTAACGAATAATTTTAGCAATTTTATGTCAACACCTTAGAAAACTTAGATGAAGAATTTTTATAAATATTACTTCTCAAAACTAATAGACCTATAATCATTGAAAAAATTAAGTAGTTTAAAATCTATTCCCTCCTCTCCCCAGAATCACCACACTTGTTTGGTTTTTGAGGTAAATGATACCAAATGTTCAAAAGGCAGTAATTCCTATTTTATACTGACTGTTCTTGAGAATAGGAAAAGAAGGGATATTTTCCAATGAGTTTAGGAAGTCAGTATAACTTTGATACTCATGTAAAGTCACGTGAATTAATACAGGATGTGATTAATATAAAAACCATAGTACGAACCATTTGGTGTTATCTAGTAAATGTGGAGATATGTGTGGCCTGTGGCCCAGCGACTCTGCTCCTAGTCATGTCTCCTAGAAACTCTCAGATGTGTGTCCCAGGTGTCTCATAACTGACTGTTCACAGGAATATTGTTTATATTAAGAAAAGTCTAAAATGATCCATATGGCCATTGATAGGAGAGTGAATAAATAAGCTGCAGTATTCATGCAACAGAATACTATCCACTATTGAGACTGATGAATGAACTATAGTTAGACTCATCACTGTAGATGAAAAAGCAAGTTTCAAAAGAATATAGATAAAACCCATCCAAACTAAATATATTGTTTAAGATGACATACATTTGTGGTAATGCTAGAAGGAAAAGCGAAGGGATGATAAACACAAATCTCAGGGTATTGTTATCTTTGCAAAGGAGGCAGGGGATGTGATCAGGGAAGGACATTATAGGGGCTCTGAAAGTATTGGTAGTTGATCTAGGTGCTGGGTATTTAAGTATTGTTTAATTACTGATGTTTATAAATAATCATATTTATATAGTTTCTATTAAGCTGTGTATACCTACAAAATTTCATTTGTAAAAATTAACTTTAGTTTTTGAGATTTTTATTATGGAAAAAACAAATATTTGAGAATTGTCAGGAAAAAAATCTGAAAAAAGAAGTTCGGTAACAGGAACAGTGTTAGTTACTATTAACATGTATCATGAAGCCAAAATAGCTAAAGCAGTTTGTTAATGGCACATGAAAAGGATAAGAAATGGAATAGAAGAATACTCTAAGAAAAAAAATTCTAATTGATATCCTGAGAGGAATTTTAAAGCACACTGATCTAAAAAGAATAGGATACCGTGAGAAGGGAACAGTCAGAAAACACACAAAAAAAACTGGAAATGAAAAATAAGATTCCCTGAGTTCAAAAATTTAGTATAAGGATTTGGAGGATAAATTCAATGAAGACTCCCAGAAAGCAGAGCAAAAGGACAAAGAAACAATAAATGGGTGAAAAGGTAAGAGAGGATCTGTTCAAAAAGTCTCATATCTATTAGGTGTCTGCTGATAATAATAGCTAGGAATTATACATTGCATACAGGGTACCAGCTAGTATTCTAAGCACTGTATTAATTCATTTGATCTTCCCAGCTAGGTACCCTTATTTTTCCCACTTTTTTAGATGATGAAAATAAGGCACAGAGAGATTAAGTAATTTACCCAAGGACACTTAGTTTATAAGTAGTAGAACTGAATATGACACGATATAATCCCTAAGCCTGCAGGCCTAACCTAGACATTATACTGCTTCCCACTAATTTGTTAATGCTAAAATGTTAATAACTGTTTTTGAACAATAATCACAGAGAGGCAGCTTTATAATTGATCATTCTGTAATTAGGTCTGTATTTTGAAGCTAGGAGGCATTGAGAGTGTTTATCACTGTTGTGGAGCTTAGAAATTATAATGTTTCAGCTAAGTTTTACCTTAAATTACAAACATATTTTATTGAACTTTAGAGAAGAGCTTCAAATAATGGAAAACATATATTAAATTTTTAATTCAATTAAAGCTTTTTTTTTCTATTTCTTCAGTGATACTTTGAAATTGTTTCATTACAATATAGATAAGAATAACATTTAAGCTACTCAGCATTTGTCTTCAAGATACATATTAGAATTTTGCACTTGCTATATCTTGGTGATCTGTATTTCCAGGGTTATCTTGAAGAACTCTTACGACTTCGAGAGAACCAGCTGTCTGAATCTGTCGCTCAGAATAAAATACTACTACAGAGGATTGAAGATTCTGATCTGGCTCATAAATTGGAGAAGGAACAATTAGAATATATAATTGTGGAGCTTCAAGATCAGCTGTAAGTGAGTCCTTTTGGAAACATTTTGGCAGTAAAGTTAAGAAAAATGGCATGTGTGGCATAGGATTCAAGTTCCAAGAAGTCTGATTGCCTTCTGTTTAGTTCTTTTTCACTTACTCTTTTTAAAAAGTTTACTTTTTTCTTATAAAAGTAATCATGGTCACTGTAGAAACTTTACAAAATATGGGAAGAAAATAAAAATCACCTTCAGTTGTGCTGTCCAGAGTTAACGCGATAACTTGGTGTGTATTATTCCAAATGCACATGCATAATTTTAAAGTATTTAGTGATTGATTGATTGATTGCAAAAAGATGGTATATAAGGTCATCTATTCGAAGTACACTGTACTATTTAAGTACAGTGCCATTATAGAAACTGTTTGTTACCAGGTTGTGCCAGGATGTCACTAAGCACAGTTTAGTCGAGCTGACTTTTTTTCATAGCAAGACTTTTTTTGATGAAGAAAACTGTGTATTGATCTACATTCTGGTACAGCTCCTTAACTTATCGCTGTTCAAATCACTTGCACTAACCATACCATTTTGTCAAACTTAATTTTATCAATTAGTTGTTTATGGTGAAAAATCTTCTCATATTAATATTTACGTAATCTTAAGGATGACTTTTAAATTTTTTACTTTGAAATAATTTCAAACTTTCAGAAAAGTTACAAGGATAGTACAAAATAATTCCCACATGCCCCTTCTTAGATTCACCAATTTTCAGCATTTTCCACATGTCATAATTCTCTCCCTCTGCTTGTATATACAAACATTATTTTCTGAACTACCTGAGAGGTTGCATACATCATTATCTCTTTACCCCTTAGTACTTCAGTGTGTTTTTCCTAAGAACAATGGCATTATCTTAAATACCCACACTTCGGCTCTCATTTTAAGAAATTTAAATCAGTAAAATACTTCTTTTACCTGTAACTCATATTTCACTTTCATCAATTGTCCAAGTAATGTTTCTTATTGCTTTTGGTTTTTTGGCACAGGATCCAATCCAGGATCACATTTTGCATTTGGCTGTCATTCTCTTTAGTCACTTTTAACTTAGAATAGTTTTTCAGTGATTGTCTCACATGAGATTGTTATTTCTGAGAATGCAGGCTAGTAATTTTATAGACTATCTGTCAGTTTGAGTTTGTGTGCTTTTCCTTGTGATTAGAATGAGCTTATCCATTTGTGGCTGGAATACAGCGTAAGCAGTGTGTCCTCAGGATATCACATGCAGAGGTCAATGAAGTCTGTTGGCCTTTTATTAGTGATGTTAATTTTAGTCATTTGGTTAAGGTGTTTTTCTCTTCTGTATAGTTACTGTTGTTCCTTTTGTAATTAACAAGTAATTTGCAAGGAGATACTTTGAGACTAAAATCATAAAAAATGATTTTTTTAAGTAAAGTTTTATTAAGGAGCATAAAAATTAAATGTTTTCTGGGAATTTGTATCTTGATAAAAAGAATTATGTTCGCATATTGTTTTTTACTTTTTTTCTAATTTTTTAAACGTATTTTAAATTTTATTTTATTTTTTGGCTGCATTGGGTCTTTGTGGCTGCATGTGGGCTTTCTCTATTTATGGCGAGCGGGGGCTACTCTTCGTTGCGGTGCATGGGCTTCTCATCGCAGTGGCTTCTCTTGTTGCAGAGCATGGGCTCTAGGCACGCAGGCTCAGTAGTTGTGGACCCAGGCTCTAGAGCACAGGCCCAGGGATTGAACCCATGCTCCCTGCATTGGCAGGCAGATTCTTAACCACTGCGCCACCAGGGAAGTCCCATTTTTTCTAATATTTTAAAGAGAGTGTGTCGTATGGGGTATCAGTCACTGAGGGGCAGATTAATACCTCCCGTAGCCCCTCACTACTATAAGCAGAGAGAAGAATATTATGAAGCAAACAGTAGAGATTTCTGGTTATTTCTTTACAATTAAAAGATTAAGAAAATAATTTTTCTTTTGCAAATAATACTGGTAGTTTGTCTAAATGCTTTTAACTTATAAATAATTATGTAGTCGTTTTTTATTTCATCACAGAGATATTTTCATTTGAAGAATTAAATTTGACTATCACATTTCTTTTGCTTCTGATAATTTAAAGGAAACAGTCTCAAACTTTTTAGCTTGAAAAAGAATCTACGAGTTATGGTTTTATCTTACTTTTGTGATAGAAGTGTCGTTGATCTTCCTGATTTTGCAAAGAAACCTTAGAGTTATTTTTAATCTCTTTAAGTTACTAGAGCAAAAAATAAAAAAATTAAGGCCACTGATGAGAATTAGACTATTGAGTTTAGAGGTTAAAGATTTATTTTCATATACCATGGCTACAATCTCTGGCTAGGTTGTAAATTGGTGTCTTACAAGGTTCCTTTGTACAAAAACCATTACAAGAATACTTAATGGAAGAGTAAGATACATGCCTTCCAGAATGTTTACGATTTACTTTGTTATCAGAATCATATTTAAGGTGCAGATAATCTCTGGGCACCTTGAAACTATAGGGAGAGAGTGGACATTTTTTCCTTCCTGATATTTTTTTTTACCAACAGTTAGGAAGGCCTGCAGTCAAAGTTGGGCACTGAAGTTCCCTTTGTTAATCCAGAGGAGATAAAAGTGGCCTTGAGAAGATTAAAATATATAATGTATAAAGAAAAAGGTCAGAAAAGGAGCATTAAATAGAATATGAAGCATGAAGTATTTGCTTCTACATTATGTTGGTTAGCTTTTCCTGGGTGATTTAAATAATTTGTCACTTAGCTTTTTATGTATTTCTCAACGGTTATCTGTGTTGTTGAATTACTGTTAAAGTATGCTTTAATAATGTCTTTGAATACTCATAAAATCTGAACATCTTGTAGTTTTGGCAGTAGAGTGCACAGTGTGATATGGTAGAGGAGTATCCCAAAGCTTTCTTGCAAATCAGGACTGTGTTCAGATATTGGCTCTGCCCTTGCCTAATATGAGCTCAATCTTGATTAATATCTTGGAGCCTCTGTTTTCTTATTTGTAAAACTGAGATAATATTCACCTTGTGGATTATTATGAGTATTAAGTGGTATCATGTTTAACACAGGTAGGACAAAGAAGGTAGTCAAGATTATTAGCCTGTTTTGGCTTACAGAAACCTTAAGATCTCCTTGATAAATTCACTCGGATAAATAGTGAGTTTAAAATGCTTTGCCTTATCATGCCCAGACAGTGAATTTGGACTTGATTGTATTATTCCTGAGTATCACTTTTGAGATCTAGTTTCTAAATGGTAGTTGGATTAATATTTATAATAATATTATGGATCCGTGATAGACCTTCAGATAGATGTTCTACTGTACAGAAGGTTTCTTTGTAAAACACTGATTGCAGACCTCAAGAATAGACAGCTTCAGAACAGTATGCAAAAGCTAAATTCTTTGTCATGATTAATACCAATAAAATGTGTAATAGGGAGTCTTTTATATTTAGTTGATGAAATTTTTCTATTCATGATTTGAAGAACAGGAATAGTAAAATGTCTTACAGGGCTCCCTAGAGAAGGGACTGAAGAGTCTAAATAGTAGAGTGAAGAATCATGCATTGCTAAAACTAAGCCATTGTTACAGTTCAACAGCCAATTTGGTGTAGTTCGTGGTGAGTAGTGATGGTTTGATCTGTTGGCCTGCAAACCAGAAGCCAAGGATGCTATGGCATCCTGGTTCACAAATTTTAGGATGAGTGGTATGGATTCTAACAGGAGAATGCAGTGATGTCATCATAGCCCCGTTAATAATGGACAGATCATGACAGTTGCTGGTCATATATATTTTTGGCAGGTAACAGTTATTAAAATATTAAATTACAATCATGCTAATATATATTACATACTCTATTATCCACATAAGAACAGAAAAGTCAAGAAAATGCATCCAGAAGAGAAAAAGGCCAGGTACCAGATAGGTAGAACCATTTCTATTGTATTTTCTTGGTATTAGGAAGAAATTATATATTACAACAGGAAAGGTGTACTTACTTGATATGAATGGCATTTCATTGCCTTTACAGTCCTTTTGTTAGATTAAAACTGCTGGCAGAGTCTCTTATATCTGAGCAGATGTCCTTATATCTGGGCCAGGGGCCTACAACAGTTGGAACTGCCCTACAAATTTCATGGAGAAGTGACTCATTTTATTTGGCAAATGTTTTACATTGAGTACACGAAAAAGGGAAGCATCCCTAAATTACAATTTATAAATCAGACAATATCACTATTAACATATAAATATTGTTTTGTTTAGTTATTTCTGTTCTTTAGCATTTAACACTTATAAAATTATAATTAGCATTTAAATTCTGAAGCTATTATTATATTTTTAATTTTTTATTAAGAAATTTTCAAGGGACTTCCTTGGTGGCTCAGTGGTTAAGAATCCACCTGCCAATGCAGGGGACATGGGTCCAAGCCCTGGTCCGGGAAGATCCCACATGCAGCGGAACAGCTAAGCCCCTGCACCACAACTACTGAGCCTGTGCTCTAGAGCCCGCAGGCCACAACTACAGAGCCCACGCTCTGCAACACGAGAAGCCACCACAATGAGAAGCACATGCACCACAACCAAGAGTAGCCCCCTCTCACTGAAGACCCAGTGCAGCCAAAAATAAATCAAAAATAACTAAATTTATAAAATAAAAAAAAAGAAATTGTCAAGTATCCACAAAAGAAAGAATTGTAGAATAAACCTCTGATTGCCCGTCACCCAGATTGAACAGAATTTGTCAAATTTGCTTTACTTGTCTTTTTTCTTTTTCACTTTTTGCTGAATGATTTTGAAGCAATCATGCCCTTTGATTCCTGTGTACTTCATTGTACATCTGTAAAAACTATGGATACTTTCTCACATAATTTCATAATCACACCTGATAAAATTAGGGACAATTGTTTTTATCATGGAATGTGCTTTCATACCAAGTTTCCGTAATTGTTTTAAAAGAAACTTTTTTGTAGTTGATCTTTTTCAAATCAGGATTCAC